ATTGTTGGAAAAATAATATTCCCTCGGGAAAAAAGTACCGGTTCCACCCGGTAGACTGCATGTATAAATGTTGTCAAAAATTTGTTGAAAATCTATTATTTTCAATGAAAAAAATTGTAGCGGTTCTCGCCCGATAAACTCTTGCTACTGTTGCAAAACATTTCTTTTTAATGAAAATTGTTCCGATAGCGTCCGATAGCCACGGAATATTATTGTTGTAATGAATTTGCTCTTTGATCAATATTTCCCGTGAAAAAAAAAAATACCGGGCGCTCCCGGTAGCATTCTCATCGCGTCGTGATTTTCGAAGCCTTCAAAACGAAGAAAATCTTTGATTTCAACATTCTTTTAATATTGCATCCGCCATCTGCAGGAACAAGGCGATACTATATTTCACTCCGATCGTTAGATGGCACCTCTTCTTACTTCAGCATTCCCCCTCCCTCATTTCCGGTTTGGGATTTTGGCCCTTTGGGATTTTGTCCCCCATCCGGAAATATGAATACTTTTTTATACAGTGTCCCGAAATTAGAGATGGGCGATGTTTTAAAAAACATCGATGATCGAAGAATCGATGTAGTGAAGCGATTTTTCTGAAAAAAAAATCAGATTAGGGGTGAGTGGGGTAAAACGGCCCCTTTTGATGTTTCTAAAAATGTTAACAGCTCATTCAATTTGAAATGAAATAGAATAATTATTTTTCTATGGAAATTGCACTTCTTCCCCTTTAGAATGAGCCTAGACTGATCTCAATTAATGGATTTGTTCCAGAGTTAAGAGTATCACAAAAAAAGTCAAAAGGGGCCGTTTTACCCCACTCTCCCGTAATAAAAAAATCGATGTTTTTGTCATTACGCAGAAGCGATTTTTTTTATTTTAAGAATTGAAAAAAATAAAATAAAAAAAACAATAGGCCCTAGACTTATTATTATTCACTTATCATTTATAACGCACATACTGTAAAAAATAATTAATTCCGATTGCAGGTAAATCACTACATTTTTTATTCTTAATCAATCGATATTATTATTCGATAAAAAAGTGATAAATGTTATTAGCTTGCCCAAAAACATCGATGTGGAAAAAAAAGAATCGAAAATTGATTAATCGGCCGTGGAGAACATCAAATGAAAAACATCGATGTTTGGGCATGAAAAATCGGTTTTCGATTAATCGACAAACATCGCCCATTCCTACCGAAAATTCGTTGTAGAGCGAGAGGGTTGGTACCTGCCTGAAAAATTCACTTTTCGAAACCGTTTAGTGTGCGTAAAGTGCTTGTTTTCCGCACGGGGTGCGTAAAATTCAGAGGTCGTGTGTAAAGTGAATTTCGAGTGCGTAGAACTTCGCTTTAGAATTTACTTTACGCACGAACTTTACGGACTTCGTGCACAAAAACAACCACTTTACCCCCACTACTGTACCGAACATTGAACTTGGCACACTGATAGAAAGGATTAGTTATTGTTAACGAATGGATTTCGTTGGAGACGAGGGTCTGTTTGGTCTCACCAACTGTTCATTCGTTAATAGTTAACAAATGCACATTTGAGGAGCTTTGTTTGACTCGGTTTTCACTTTTCAAGTGAACCATTCGTTAAGTATCAACGAATATTCATTTGGTCATATTCAACTCTACCATTCATTAATAGTTAACGAATCTTGTTTGGAATAAATGAATCAGTCTATCAGTGCAGGTATCACAAAAAATAGAATGTGTTACGCGTGCATGCGAAAAGTGGTTCTTTACGCACTTGTAACACAATATACTATTCTAGGTCATATGATTGCAGTAGTATTTTTTGTGATATCTGCCTGAAAGGTGCACTTTTCGAAACGATTTAGTGTGCGTAAAGCGGTTGTTTTCCGCACGGCGTGTGTGAAGTTCATGACCGTGCGTAAAGTGAACATTTCGGACTCGTGCCCAAAAACAACCACTTTATTTCCACTACCGTTCTGAACAGTGAACTCGGCAGGTGTCACAAAGAATAGGATGTTAAGATTTCATAATGAACACAACGTAGCAGGCTTGACACAACGCTTGCAACTGTCAAAACAATTGCAACGACAATCGAAACAACAATCGGAAACAGTGGAACAACTCTTTTGAACTATTGCAAGAGGTGCGTCAAGCCTGCGTTGCATTCATTATAGAATCTCCTGCACACGTTCGTGGAAAAAAGTGAAACTACGCACTAGTAACACAATATACTAGTTCGTCATACGGCTGATAAATTTTTTCCGTCATCCCGTCTGCTTACAGCCGTTATGACAAGAAATATCATTCGACTTACGGCCTAAGAAAACTTTTTTGAAATTTTTTTTTCGGCCATGACGGCTAATGACGAAACATACTATTTCTGTACTGCTTCACCCGATTCCTCGCTTGGAAATTGGTATTGCATACGTGCCAAACTTGAAAACTTGAAAATCACTACAAAAAAATCTCGTCCCGGGGCCAGGGTTGGGTCATTCGTTAAAAACTGGAGTTTTCTACGGTACATAGTAAAATACTGGAATGGTAAACAGGTCAATTTCTGGACGATTTCAACTTACATTGCATATTCCATAAATAAAATGAAAATTGTACTGATTATGTCTTTCAATCACATTACTCGTGTATAATCATGTGATCAATTATTTTTTCTATTGATCACATTTTCTGTTATTATTTGATAGTTTTATTTCTATCAATTATGAATTCAAAGATGTACAGGAAAATATATTATGCATTCAATGTTACATCATAAATCTTGTAATAAATTATTACGTCATAAATCTTGTAATTCGTAATTTGTTGTTGTAGTAACATATAATGTTCAGAATGAAATAAAATAGAACAATAGTGGGATGATTCTCAAATATTTGCAATGTTGTCATCAGAAATTATTATTGTACAATTTACGAGTCATTCCCCCAAGTCTTGTACCCAAAAACACATCTTTTCCGATAATCTTCCTGGTCCCCTTGATTATGTATCTATAGATAACTGATAGTTTAGTTATCATTAAATAAGAAGTGAGGGGAAAATTATCAAAATTTTTAAAACCGAGTTTGTGCACAAGGTTTTGCAGAATGGCTCTTGTATTCTTCAAGGATTCCATTTCGATTTGTTCAAGCATATCTAAATTTTCGCTATTTCTTCACATCCGATTTATCATCAGGTTTTTCTTGTTCATCATCGGACTCGGTTGATGTTTCATCGTCTTCATCGTCATCCTCATCATCATCTTCATCCTCTTCCTCCGAATCATCATTCGCACCATCAGCATCGCCATAGCCGTCACCGTAATTGCAACTGCTACCTCCATAATAATCATAGCTATTTCCTTCGTCATCAGAATCGTAGCCAGCTTGATTTTGCCTCCCGAATTTGTGACTCCTCGCTGTAAATTATAGATAATTACTCGTCACGCATGAAAGAATGTCATTTAAAAATTTAAGGAATTCGCTAAGAAATTCTGTTCAATTTGTTTTGCAAAGTCTATTAGTTTTTGGCCGATTCTATTGAAGAATTTCGCAGCTTTACTGCATATTTTTTTTCGTACAAATTGTCCGATAGAAATTAGTTTATGAAATGAATCAGTAGAATTCCATTTTTCTATACAACTTTTTCTATAAGAATTCCGCAAAATGAATTTTGCAAATTTTTTCCACTCCATTTTTCTGCTCTTTCCAATTACAAAAATCAAACAAAAAACTTGAACAAAACTGGATAAAAAAATTTGCGCAGAGCATTTCTATCGAAAATTTGTTAACATAAATTTTTTTTTCACGTCATATATATATAATATATATTTCACATGTGTATATATTATCGGTGAAATTAATAAATTCTGTCCTTTTATGGAGACCGATTATTTTAAAAAATTGAAGATAATCAATTGAAAATGAAAAATTCTTTATAGATTCTTTTACTCTACTTCGCTATTCACTTCAATCATTAGTCGAATTCTCTTTGATTCATTATCAATATTTATAAGGTATTCATGAGAAAATGAAATTCAATGAACTCCATTTCTTCATTTCAACAAAATGGCGAGAGCGCGCGCATAGATCTTGTATTTTCTATTGAAAAAAGCATAGATACTTATTATTAATTTCTGTAGAGGTTTTCTATAATTGAAATTGATCAAAAACTTACTTGACATGCTGAGGTCCTTAGTCTGAGAGGTCTCGAAACCGCATTTAGGGCAAGGAATTGCTTTATTCTTCTCATATTTGAATCCTTTTCTACGAACGTGATCCTCGCAGTAGCACGTTTTGCACCTGAGGCATGAGTATTGTCCTAACTTGTTGCATGATTGACCTTTAGAGCAATTACAGATTAAGATCAATATTCAATTCTACATTGAGTAAATGTAAATATGTGGTAATAACTCACATTTATAACTCTCTGCTTCTAGAACTTGACACGACGCCTGATGCTCGAACTGATCATCCTCACACAGAAAACAATCGCAGAAAGAGCAACGGAATATCCTGCCTCCATGATCCCAAACTCCTCGTTCACACTCTTGGCAAATGGCATCGATCAGGGGACATGTGCAGGCATGAGCAGTCAGGCATTTCCTTCCATGGCATACCCATGCCTCGCAATGATCGCAAATAGCTCCCTAAAAAATGAGTCAACAATACTTGATTGTAAGAAATTAATTCAGAGCCAAAGGTGCAGAAAGAGATAATCCTGCTCCACTCCGATTTGAAATTTCCAGTGAAAAATCTTGAAAATGTTAGTAACGAACTCATTCACATTCAATTAAAATGAGAAATTTCAATTTTACATGAGATTTTTCACTTCATTTTTCCAGTGAACGACTCATTCACATGATATTTTTCATATCTGTTTATATTCACAAGATATTTTGAGACTGAAAAATCTGTTACATTCAGAAGTAACCAATGTAATTGCAATTTTCAAGTTCACATGATAATGAAAAGTATTGAAAACTTTGGAAACTCAGGTAGGGGAGAGTGGGGCAAACTGACACAGTGGGGCAAAATGAAACATGACGCAAAGTAAGGCAGTCGAAAAACGACGGTTTGCCGCAAGTCAAGCAACAAATTTTTTTTATCAAATTTTTTTTATTAACTTTTTTTCATTAACTTTTTTTTTATTCTTGGGAGCACTGTAGAGAATAATAATCTCCCATTTTTTCCCTCCCCTCAAAATTTTGTGAATTAATTAATTGGAAAGAAAATGAAACAGCAAAATCTAAAGTCCAGAGCAAGGTCCAGGGGAAGACCCAGAGGGGGAAAAAAGCAAATGTAATGCTGAATTTCAAGCGAATGAAAAACGAAACTTAATCTAATTAATTGAATTATAAGACGACTAGAAAATTATTATTCTCACCAGTATTCTCAATAATAAAAAAAGTTGATAAACAACAATTTTTTTTGCTTGAATTGCGTCAAATTGTCGTTTTCCGGCTATTTCATTTCACCCCACTCTCCCCTAACTATTTTTCTGAATTTACAATCCATTGAAGATTCAATTAAATGTGATGATTAATTTTCACAGTAAGTTTGAGAATTCTAGCTGTCATTGAAAGATAATTGAAGCATAATAATCGCCTAACATGGAAAACCCCATCGCGGTGTATTTTCTTGACGAAAAGAAAGGAACAATAGAATGAAAAACTTTGAGCTGAGGACATTGTATAGATAATATCTCAATACACTGAGAGAAAAAACTACTTTTGATAAAGAAGGTTTACTTGATACAAGAAAATATTCTGTCCATTTTAGAAATCGTGAAATCTCCTGAGACTTGTTATGCAAAACAATAGAAAATCCAGTGAGAAAGCTTAGAAATTTGTGCCCAATAATTCTAATATAAAAAATCTCAAGAGAAAAATTCGAATAAAAATTCCAAACATGTTGATGGCCATTGAATATTTAATGAACTAAATTACATGGTCAGTACAGACAGTACAAAATTTTGAAAACCAATAACAGCGGATATCTCCTCCAAAGATTATTCTATTGAAGAAAAAACAATTGTCCAATCTGAAGTTTTACAAAATCTCGTCGTCATATTCTTTAGCATTTCTTTGTTGACATTATTTGATAGTTTATCTACTGTTGTACACTTGAACTTTGTCGAGCTGTACCATGTTCATAAATTACTTAATCGAAAAAGCAAAAAACATCACAGTTAGAAAAATGAAATATCTTCTAATGATTTTTCTCCTTTTTATCATTTGGCGTTCAATGCATGAAATATTCAATGTTGATTTTTCGAAAAAAATTTGACATCGGATATCGTCTTAAAAAATTAGCGGATTTCGAAACAAAAGAACTGAGCTTCGTGTTCCATTGAAATCTCAACGTGACAATTTTTACAAACAGTTTTCTTTCATGTCAGTCATAGAAAACATTGAAATTATAACAAAAGTTGACTTTAACAGAGCATACTAGCGATAAAATTAATACTATGAAAAGAAAAAAAAAATCCTAGAGCTTACATTTGATGCAATCCCCACATGAGAATCATTACTTTAGCAAAAGGAACACGATAACGATTTCAATAAAATAATCAATTCTAATTTACAGAGTGATACTCCTATGAATTATGCGGTAATGAATTTTCAATTCCATGATAGCAAATAGGACCAGGGAAACGGTAATTTGTCTTTGATGTGAGGAGGGGAGAGGATTAAGTGTCTTCAGGGTTATATATTGCGAGGATTAAACACCGCGAGGATCATCACTCATAAGAGTTGAACGATTACACGGAGCAAATGCCAAAGGCAAGTAGAACAATCTCAAGCCCAAAAAACACGCAGAATTTTCCAACAGAATTCCAAGAGAAATCCTATAAAAACCCCGTAGAATTCCTATAGAATTCCAACAGAATTTTCTCGCGAATTCGCTAGTTTTTCTGTTGAATCTCTTCATGCGTCTTTCAATTCAGTTGCGAAGTGGTCAAACGGTTTGTGTGGATTTTGACTATTCGTGAATTTTCAATGAATATCTCGCAATCTAAGGCAGATAGCCAAATTTCTGTTATGACCTTTTTGGTAGAGCACATTGAGAGCTTCAAAAAAGATATATATGAAAATTTCGCTACCTCCTTTAGATTTGGAGATATTCATCGAAAACTCAGCTAAGAGCTAAGTCGACTTAAAGCGTTTGACCACTTTGTTACTAAATTGATTACATACCACCATTCCCATCCCAGTGGTGAACATTCCAGCATGTTTAACGACACAGTCCCCCGTCTTCAACATGCACTTGATCTTCCCACAGTGTGCGCAGATGGGTAATCGTTGAACAGTTCCACAGAAATAGCAGAAAGCCCTGCTCTTCTGTTTTTTATTGCACTTGTCGCATTCCTGAAAAATAAACCCCCATTATCACTTTCAAAGCCCAATTTTCAAAGACTTCACACCAAAAATGAATAAAAATCGACGTACCATAACCGCATTGCACGGCATTTTGGCGAGATCAACCTGATCCTTAGCGGTTCTGATCTCCTTTTGCCTCATCTTCTGCTTCTCAGCCTTCTTCCTCTGCCCAGTCTTCTTCTTCGGCATTTTGTCACCTTAATTTATCACTAATCACTTATGAGATCACCGAGTAATTCATTCCCGTCCAAAGACACGTATGCACTGTCCGTCATGCGGTGCTCATGCTCATGACTTTGTAAACGACATCTCTATTATAAAATGGTAACTTTTTTTGTGATTTTACATGTGTCGTTGAACCCCAACTCAACAAGCAATTTTTACTTCGATTCCTCTTCATTCGATGAAATGATAATCATTTGACCTTCAGTCCTATGAGTCCTAGGTTATGTGATTGAGTTGTAAAGGCAGATTCGGAGAATCTTTCCATTGCGATAGCTGATGCGCTATTGGATTTCCATTGAACTTCTGTCGCGAATTCTATTAGTTTTTGCGGATTATACAGAGGAATTGCAATAGAATTGTCCAATATGAACTATTTTATAGAAGAAATTATTTGAATTTCATCATTCTACAAGATCTATGCGCTCGCTGATCTATTCATTTGTTGAAATGAAGAAATGGAATTCATTGAATTTCATTTTCTCATGAATACCTTATAAATATTGATAATGAATCAAAGAGAATTCGACTAATGATTGAAGTGAATAGCGAAGTAGAGTAAAAGAATCTATAAAGAATTTTTCATTTTCAATTAATTATCTTCAATTTTTTAAAATAATCGGTCTCCATAAAAGGACAGAATTTATTAATTTCACCGATGATATATATACATGTGAAATATATATATATATATATATATATTTATATATATATATATATATATATTTATTTTATTTATAATAATTCAAATAAAATTTATATATATATTGATTTACGAAATCGGATAATCGATTTACTTGGAGCTAGTGTACTTGGTAACAGCCTTGGTGCCTTCAGAGACAGCGTGTTTAGCCAACTCTCCTGGAAGGAGCAGACGAACAGCTGTCTGAATCTCCCGAGAGGTGATGGTTGAACGTTTGTTGTAGTGAGCCAATCTCGAGGCTTCGGCGGCAATTCTTTCGAAGATGTCGTTGACGAATGAGTTCATGATGCTCATATATATATATATATATATATATATATATATGACGTGAAAAAACATTTACCACTGAAGAATTTGAAATTGTCACTGAAGAATTTAAAAATGCCGCGTGTTTTTTTTGTGAATAACTTCGTGTCACATATTAACCAATCAGAATTAAGGATTAGCGGTCAGGTAGTTTCGAGATATTTCGATATAAAACAACTTCACGTTTCTTTCATCTTATTAAATAGAATACTTCTCTCTCGCACCTATTGTAACGCGTATCCGAATTCTCGCCTTTAGCGAATATTATATTCAGTCCGGCACTGACCGCCGAATACTCGGGAGTCACCATCTCCCATAACTTGCAAATATCACTAAGGCGCGTTTAGTAATAAACAACAATTTTACATTAATTGTTAGTAGTGGATTGATTCAAGCCTTTCCCATCACACCACAATCCCTACACCCCCGGGGTAGTGCTTAGGCGCTGGTAAGATTCGAATTTTTATGTCATAACATACACTGAGTGAAAAACGACAAAGTTCTCAAACAAGTCTTACTTGTGCAAAGAAACTATTTTTTTGAAAATTATCAAAAAGGGATTTTTTTTGTGCCAAACGTGCAGAGAGTGCGCCGGAATGCAAAATTTTTGTCGCAAAAATAAATTTAATAGTTCGAAAAAAATGGCATCTCTGTACATGCAAGAAATGTCATTTCTAGCACTACTCCTTCGTTATTCGATACTCCCATACGTATTTTGCTCCCGAAAAATCTGTTTTATGCGAAATAAGGGATAGTAGTTTTTCGTTTCGGCTGTCTAGTAATCACAGACAAGAAATGAACCCTTAAATGAAACATTAATAATGATATGATAGCAATCTTGTAACTTAGGGATAAAATATTTGTTGATAAATTTTCCTCCACATGAGATATTTTCATCCTAAAAAGGCACCGCCTGGTGTAAATTATCCGTCTCTTGGGCGAAATATTTCGTCGCTGTCGAGAGCAGAACAATTATTCATGTTTGAAAGTTTCAAATTCGAACCAAACAAATTCTTTTTTGGCAATTTTCAACTAACGATTTTGTCGGCCCAAACAAGACTTGTTTGACAACGTGTTTGTTTTTCTCTCAGTATATGTAGGCTAGCCAAATAAGAACTTTTTTCGGCCGAAATCAAGGATGATAGAAGAAGGATAAAAACCATGAGATATCACGCGGAAGAATGATATGAAACACATACTAAGTTTTTGGGATTGTAGCAAACCGGGAAATTGTTTAAAAAAATTCAAAACTGCAAAATTACGCGTCCACGCGACCTTTTTTGCTTTACACCGACGAAACCGTGATAGGATAAAAAAGCATAGGACTCAATTTGTAGAGCATGAAATTTCCTACAAAAAAGTCATATTTTCGTAATTTCAACTAGAGATGCAAATGCGTCACATGACCCGTCATATGACGGTCACATGACGAGGCGTTCATGACGGCTGTCACAACTACCCCTTCCGTGACCGTGACAACCTGTCAAGAAAAAATGGCAGTCATTTTTCATCTAATAGATGAAACTTTATTTTTTCTCGGTCAATTTTCAATTGAATTCCTTTTGTATTGGCCTAATCCGCATTTTGAAATGAAAATCACGTTTTTTTTTCATCCATATAGATGAAACTATTTTGTTTTATTCATGACCGTCACAAATTGGAAATTAGTTATGACCGTCATTATGCCACTATATAGATGGTTTGACAACAATTTGGTTACAAATGATTTGTGACAATCATTTGTAGTTGGAAAATTTGTGCGTCACATGAGCGTCACAAGACCGTCATTTTTTGGTCATATGACGCGATCTAAAAAATGACCGTCATTTTGCATCTCTAATTTCAACCGTCAAGCCGCCAAGCGCGCTCAAAGTTGAACTACGAAAAAAAGCTGATTCGCCGCCAACGCCGAAAACTCCAATTTAGTTGCAAAATACAAATAATTTATGAAACAGTTGATTAAAAAATCAGAAAAAAATCAGGATGCATCTTGACCCTTCACAGAATGTCTCCAGGAGAGGAATTTTTTTTAAAAACATTTTTCGATTTTTCAGGAGTCCCCATTTTTCTCTTTTTTTGCATATTTCAACCAAAATTCGCCATAACATAACTTTTGATCCAGTTATCTTATTGGAATAAGAATAAAAGGTGATTTTTTCTCGTTCTCTCCTCTCCATTTTCACTTTTTTGACCTTTTCACTCAACTTTCATATTTAACTTATTATTTGTTGATAAACTAAAAAAATTGCTGTTTTTTCAATATATAATCTGACTGGAAAAATTTTTGATCAAGCTCGGTAGCTTTATCCCAAACTTGAATCATTGGGATCAATCTTGAATTTTTTCATACTTTTCTTGGCATTTGTTAACGTAGAAAAATGAAGAAACCTCGGAAAATTTGAGCCAAAGAAATTTTATGGAAAATATTTCAATAGAATAATTTGGATAGCACAGTCGAATTGTTTGACTTTATCTATCGAATATTTTCTATTTAAGATTCAGTCAAAAACCAATAGAAATCCAATAGAATTTTCTAGCGAATTACTAGCTTTTTCTAATAAATTTTTTCGTGCGTACAATCACATGTTAATTTTCTTTTTACCACAGTGTGACATGTTTTTTCATTGAGTAAGAGCAATTGAAAAACAGCGAGCGCTGGATTTTTCGACTCTGCGATCAGTCGATTCCATGAACGCGGCGTTGTCAGCTGTCAAATGCTGTTTATTAGTGGTAGAGTAGTCGAGTGAGCGAGTCCAAGTTTTTCCTCTGTTTTGGAGCATTTTTACACGAAACTAATGAAAGTAAATCATCTTACTCCTCTGAATCCTCATTTACATTGTTAAGAATAGACCATTTCTGTGACATCTGATTGAAGTTTCCACGATTTCTCCTCTCGTCGGCTGAAAAAGTGGTTGTGAAAGCCATCGCATGACTAGTATGATCAAGTATGATGACGTTTTACGGAGTCAGTGGATGCGTGCGGACGATTTGATGACAGTTGCAACAATCAATCGAATGTAAACAACTGTTTGTTGAAGTGCTTTTGAACATGCGGGAGTTGTAGCAGTTTGTCGTGAGTGACTTGTCCTGGGTTCATTCGATTTTTGAGTGTGACAATGTTCGTGAGGGATCCCTGTGGAATTGTTTGTATTATTGTGACGTATGTCGCGGTTTTTTATGCTGATTATGTTGTTATCAGGTGGATTATTCTTCATACTATGCAGGATAGGTTAGTACTGAAGTTTTATTCATGTCATTTGTTTTTGATTTTTGAGTGTTTTAGGACATTTTTGTGGGATTGAGTGTGAATTCATGTCGACATTTTAATACCAGACAAGCCTATCTACATAGGGAACTCATAGAACTTACGCTAAAAAAAGTATTTATATTTTACTAAAAAGAATTATTATTAATTTAACTAATTGATTTTTCTGTTTTATAAGTATTATATTTTATTATTAAATATCAATTATTATTATTACAGGTATATGTGTACACTGTACACTGCTGTATATCGCCACCGTCCTTCTTACAGTAAATAATACTAAAAACTATTATTATATTTTACTGAAAAGAATTGTTATTATTTTAAATAGGTGATTTCTCAGTTTTATAATTATTATATCTACAGAGGGAACTCATAGAACTTACACTTCTGTCTGTTTTTAAGGTGTCGATATAAGAGAATTTTCAAGTTTTGAGCATTTCAGTTGTTGGAGGAGAGTGGGGTAAAACGAACCGAGTGTAACAGTCAATAACTCGAAATTGATAAATTGAAATTGAACGATTTTTCGCTCCTCTGGGAGGTATTTTATTGAAGATTTACAATTGAATTTGATTAATTCTCAAGACTTATCGATTTAAGATGGTTTGTTTTATCTCACCGTCTCAAAATTTTTTTTATAAAATAAAAAATTGTCTTGTCTTTTTTGGGCATCTGTTTGATTATTGGTATTGTCTTTTTCAGGCATCTGTTTAATTATTATTCTTTCGTTTTCAGCTTATGGGGCCCCTTTCATGTCGTATCCTTCAACACTGTCGTCCTCTTCCTAATGATGGCACACATGAAAGCGATTTGCAGTGATCCCGGTGTGGTGCCCCTACCTCAAACGCGAATGGATTTTTCGGATATTCATACAGGTGGTTCTGGGGCGAGTGATGACTGCGAGGAGAGAGATGACTGGAGCGTCTGCACTAGGTGCGAGACGTACAGGCCGCCTAGGGCCCATCATTGCAGGATTTGTGAGAGGTGCATTAGGAGGATGGATCATCATTGTCCATGGTGAGTTTGTTTAATTCAATTCAATTGTTTAATTCCAAAATTTCATAGAAAAACCTATCGAATTCGCGACCAAATTCTATTGAACTTCTATTAGTTTTTCGCTAATTACATTGAAAAATCCTGTAGCTTTTCCGCACGTGTTTATCAATAAAAAATATTCTACAGAAAAAATTAATGTACTTTGATGTTTTTATACAATTTATTTTATCGAGATATTTTTTATTCCTCAAAAAATTGAAATTCCTCCCCCTGAACTTCCTAAGTTTTTTTCTCCTGATTTTTTCAATAAGAATGAAGCAAATAGAGTCTGAATAGAAAGATTCAACTGATTAATTCGACTGATTCTACTGATTGTTTGTATGAAATAGTTGCAATTGGACATTTTCTATAAAAAAAGGCGCAGTAGTACGGAATTTTTTAATACAATTGAAAGAAAAACTAAAGGAATTCTCAATAAAACTTCAACAAAAATCCAATAGAATTTTCTAGGGAATTTGTTAGGTTTTTTAATGAAATTACAGTGCGGAGGAGTATTTCAAATGATTTTATTAAAATTTCAGGATAAATAATTGCGTTGGGGAGCGGAATCAAAAGTATTTTATTCAATTCTTGGTATACGTTGGAGTTCTTGCGATCTACGCAATATCCTTAGTAATTGTTTCGTGGATTGTCGATTGTCCAGAGTGCAGTACCGACGTTGCTATTAAACAGAATCGAATGTAAGTACAAAACAGAAATCCGATAATAAAGGATCACTTTACACTGCGGAAGTAACTCTGAAGAATTCCACGCCATTCCTTTTCGTAAATGCCTTCAAGTGCGGGTCCAAAAAATTTATCAGAAGACCTTTTATGTGAAGAAAATTTGAAAAACTGATAATACTAAAAGAAACATCCCGTGATATTCTTCTGAGAATTCTTTCGCTTCTGTTCAATTCCTGGTTTACTCTACAAATATATTCGAAAGGAAGAAACTGAAAATAATTCATCTTCATAATTCATAATTTTAATATCTGCTGATTGTTTTCTATGAACAAATGTGTACGTCCGCATGAAAAGGGACCACTTTGTCGATATGGAGTTATGTATACTCTGATAATATTTATAACATTCCGCACATTTTGAGCCCAAAATGATCCTCATAAGGTGAAAAATGACGTCGCCGGAGCAGATGAAAAAAACACTTTAACATGAGTGTAAATGGGAGTTGCTGAGACAAAAACGTAAATATCTCGGAAACTAGAATCGACAAAGTGGTCCCTTTTCATGCGGACGTCCACAAATGATTTCCAGAGCTATTTTTGAAAAATCATCCAAGAAATTTAATAGTCTAGTGCTTTCTCTCTAACAAATTCTATCGAGTTTCTACTTGACATCTATTGAAAATCTAGTGAATAATTCTATGGTTTTCTTGCACCAATTCTATTGAAAATTATACAACTTTACCATCTCATTTTTCGGTAGACAAAAGTCAATAGATTTTCTTCCTTTTATAGAAATTCATGGGCATAAAATTTCAAAGTTCTTTCCGCCGTAGTATTACTCGTTTTAATACTAAAATCCAAAAGAAAAAACTTGGAAAATTCATTCTCAAGAATTCTATTGCATTTTTATTTAACTTTCTATTAGTGATTGGCCGATTCTAGTGAAATGTTCAATACAAAATATTAAACAGAAAAACTCAATACAATTTCCTCGGCTCAATTTTCAATATCAATTTTTTTGTGTGATTTTCTTGATGAAAAGAAAAGAAAAATGGAATGAAAAAAACTTGAAAGAAAAAACATTAACATTGATTTTTTTTTTGAAGGAAATTCCACAAAAACACAAAAAAACGTGGAAAAATTGAGCCGAGGAAATTATGAAGAATTGAATTCTATTGATTTCTATAGAATATTCTCTATTGAACATTTTAATAGAATCGGCCGAAAAATAATAGAAAATTCAATAGGAATCCAATACAATTGTCGAAGAAATCACTAGTTTTTCCATCAAATTTTTTGAAACCTAGGTACTGGTCAATTAATTAATTAAAATGATTAATTACAGCCTTCACTGTGTGATACTGGTCCTAGAATCAGCCCTCTTCGGCATGTTCGTAGTGGCAATTCTGATCGATCAATTCCAAGCAATACTCGGTGATGAGACGCCGATAGAACGTCTCCAAGGGACTCACCACCACTACCACCAAAAATCACGTCGGGCAATAACTCTTCTGGCTCAAGTCTGTGGCAAAAGTCATCCAGTCTTCTGGCTGCTCCCCTGTCACAACCCCCCACGCTACTCATTCCGTCGTGACGAGCGTCTAATAGATCACGACGTCTGAAAATCTGAACAATGAGAGGAGCAAAAGGTAGAATGGACCTCCCTGAATCCTCAGTATCTCTGGCCAAACGGTACGATTTGAGCGAGACAGGTTTCATTTTGAAGCCTAAGAAAATAACTTGAAAATAAAAAAAAAAATCGTTCGATTTCACTCTGCCGATCTCGAGATATCGGCGATTAAAGATGGCCCTGTTTTCCCCCACCTCCAATGGAACTAAACTTAAGAGAAAAGTATTTTCATTACTTACGATTATAAACGAAAACGATTGAATTAAGAATTCTTCCGTCAATTGTAAGTCTTGAGATTTTTGATCCATTTGAATTTACATATCTCTCGAATTGGCCTTTAGCTCTTTCGGCTCTCAATCACACCAATTTTCATAAGAATTCATTAAGTATGAGAAATTTATGCAGACTTGTTATGTTGATTGATTTCCTGGAGAATCCCGACATTTTCTGTAGAAATGTTATAGAAATCCTATTGCAGATTCTAGTATTTTTGACGATTTCTATTGAGATTTTCGCCCCATTTTTTGACGGATATTTGATGGAAAATTTTTACAGATTGTGATTTTTCTGTATTTATTTATCAGACTTATTCTTTTTAGATTTTTTCTATAAAAATTCATGAGCAGAATCTTTCCCATTTTTTTTCTTCTCATTACAAATTCCAGTAAAAAACCTTGGCAAATTAATTCCCAAGATTTCTTACAGAAAGAATCGCAAATTAGAATAAGTTTTATCCAAAAATCCACATCTATTGATTTTCTTTACTCGTGTATTTAAACAATTATAATACTTTAAACCTCTGTCAAAAAATTTCACACAGAATGTCTAGTTTCCTGCAAAAAAAAATTTCCAACACATAAACTCTTTATAGAAAACGTGATGAAGTCGCTTTAAAATTCGATTGAACTTTAATTGAACATTCTATTTCATAGTTTTTTTGCGCGTTTTTTTAGTAGAAATTATCTTGTAAAAAGTAGATCATGATCTGTCTATACAAGTTATTCTATGGAGATATTTTCTATAGAAATTCCGCGACATTAATTTTCTAAATTTTTTCACTCTATTCAATTTCGCTCATAAAAAAGTGAAACAAAAAAACTTAAATTGTAATTTTTTTAAACTGTAAATTTAGGCTGGGGAATTTCTATAGAAAATATGTCAATAGAATTAATTGCGTATAAAATCAAACTCTATTAATTTTTCCAATAGAGTTTTATTATCGAAATATTTAACAAAATTAATAGAAGCCCTAGGTGTTTCTATTAATTTTTTCATTCGTCGGGATAAGTCTCCAGAGATTTTTCATACCTGAACATATGAAAAAAATTTTGTAGAAAAACTGAGTACTTTTTCTGAAAACTGCTATTGAATTTTCATCGGAAATCTATAAGAATTCCTTTGAAGTTTTATTATAATTCGATTGGAAAAATCTATTTGTTTTTTGCGCCATTTGTACAGCAGAATATTAAACCTTATCGTGTCATTTTGTTAAGAGACATTTGCTAGAAAAAAGTTAATAGATTTTGATTTTTTTATATAAATTCTTGCGTGTAAATTTTCTAAGTCTTTTCCACTTCATTTTTATTTATTTTTCATAATAAAATCTAAGAAAGAAAATTTGGAAAATCTGTGCCCAAGAATTCTTATAGAAGAAATCCCAACAGAATAAGTTATACATAAAAATCAACATCCAGACATTTTTCTATAAACAAATATCAGGGACGTTGCATAATTTCTAATAGAATTGGCGCAAAAAACAAGTAGAATCTTTCAATAGAATTCTAATCGAATGCCAGTAGTATTCTTATAGTTCCAATAGAAATTCAATAGAATTTCTTAGAGAAAGTGCTAGCTTTATTTATTAAATTTTTTCATACGTAAAATCGTACATTAAAACTGTATATACATACCGGACACCTATTTATGTGCTTTTCGAGAATTTACAGGTCTAATAATGGTTCCCTCTTTCTCGAAATACTCCTTCGCCTTCTTGAATATTAATATATACAGAGTATTTAGGATACTAATAATATATGTAAACTTCCGTCAATCGAGAAAAAAATCTTCGGCATATTTATTCTAGTCTAGAATTTCAGTTTGAATAATTACGAAATGCCTATTTAATGATAAAAATTTTCTGCCTCTAATTGATGGAAGTGGTATTACAAATGCAATAATGAAAGTGATAAAGTTTTTAAGATTGTAAGGTACTGTAGAATATTTCTCATTTGTTATTTTTACTCTGATCTTTTTTGTATGTCAGTCGACTGATTTGTATCTATTATTAGTGACTCCAAAGGTTTTTTCAATCATGCGTTGAAGTGTAAAGGAACATTTTGTTGAATACTTCAACATCAGACATTTTCAACTCCTATTGTCTATGAATCACAAGTTCTTTGAGTTATTATCCTGCCAAACTTGCTTTTATCGAGTGATTATAACATCGGTTTCATTGAATAAACTATTTGTTCATTCGAAAAATGTTTATTTTGGATTTTTATTATAAAAAATGGATTTAACTCGACGGTATGAAAATGGTTTTCCTCATGCAGGGATGCTATGTGACGACTATCACAGATGTCAGATACTGGTTTTTTCTCGTAGGAAAATATATGGAGACCTAGAGATGATGGGACTTTCATGTCAGGATGACAGGAGGCTCCTCCGAAGGTGGTAGCTCTGTTGTTTCTTGAGTCTGAATTATCTTACTCTGGATTATATTTCCATAAGCGTCCACTTCGTCGATTGAAATCAATATGTTGGAGATCACTGGCATTGATTTACCAACACTGTCTTCAGCGTCTGTGTTTACTTCTAGGGCAACGTTGCTGTCGTCTTCTCCAGTGTCTTCAACAATCTGTGAAGCGACGGAAAATTGAGAAATGTATTTTGCCTATAGGGAAATAGTAAGGAAAGATAAATTGAAAAAATCAATAGAATTTGATTTTTCCATGAAACTTATTTTATTGAGATATTTTGTATAGAAATTTCTCTACCTGAATTTTCAAAGTTTTTCTATCTGATTTTATTAATCAGAGGGAAAAAAATCAGGCACGAAAAACTTTCATAGAATTTCGTAGAAAAGTCTATTCGATTTCTACTGAACTTCTATTGAAGATTTTATTAGTTTTTGGACATTTCTATTGAAGAATTCCTCAGCTTTACTATCTTTTTTTTTTATAGGAAGTGTCCAATAGAAATTGATTTATTGCAAAAATCAGGAGAATTTCATCTCTACAACTTTTTTTATTGAGACATTTTTTGTAGGAATTCATCGACATGAATTCTCCAAGTTTTTTTCACCACATTCTTCTCTTCTTCTTGTTGAGAAAATCAAACAAAAAAACTTGGAGAATTTGAGCCAAGGAATTTCTATAGAAAATCTCTCAATAGAGTAAGTTGTATAGAATAATCGAATTTCATTATTTTTGTCTATAGAGAGTTTTCATTGAACATTTCTATTATCATTTTCCAATAGAATTGGCCGAGAAGTAATAGAAAATTCGATAGAAATCCAGTAGAATTCTTCAACAAATGGGCATGATTTGTCTATTAAATTTGAAACAATGAAATGACAACATTTTGTTCATCAACTTCTTTGAATATTTTCCCTGGAAATTTTTGAGAACATTTCATAGAATTTCGTAGAAAAACTGTGGCGCGAGCCACAAACGAATTATTATTTCGAAATTCATATAACGCGTCTCGAATATTCTATATCGTCGTATTCGAGACAAACATCATTCTATCCTTGTCCCTGACGAAATTTCTGGACAATTCTCGAACCTTCCATAACAAAAGGTATTTAAACCCGCACGCTCCCGACCAAATATCATCAGTCGATCTCAGTCCGATTCTCAAACTCGATATAAACACATCTAACGTGCTAAATACAACTGGAAATTCTTGAAAACATTTCAGTTCAAGAAAATCGTTTCAAGAGAATCTGCGAAAGAGTTTTAACTCTAGCAAACGTTGTGATTATTAATTAAAAGAGAGGATATATTTACCTCAAAAGTGGGAATTTCGCAGTTGGAATTGAGTTTGATTTTGTAATTTTTGGGTTCACCAGCGTTTTCTAGTTCATTTCCTGATCCCACAGCATCGTCCTCGATGTCCTCGTACCTCACTCTCTGCAATCTGTAGCAACCGTCATCCTCCCTGGTGTACTGGAACCTCTTGTGGCCATTTGGCCACTGGAGATTGTGAACCTCCACCAGGTGCTTCGTCAAAGTGTAACTCTTTCGATATTTGATAGGACACTCGTGGCAACAGTACCAACGAACTTCGGCACTGTGAACCCGCTCAATATGCCTGTGAAATTGAAATGAAAAATAGAGTAAACAATTGAATTCTAGGCATCAAATTTGCTGAATCTCCTTTTCAAATGGGAGGAGAAAGATAATTCCAATTTGTAAATGAATTCAGAGAATTTCGTTGTACTAGAGGTGCAATAGTCAAGCGTAACAATTTTTTGAATTTTTTGCTTCCGAATGGAAGCTTTGTAATGATTCAAATTTAAGTTTTGGATTTTTTATGTGACGGGACCGACCGCGCGCTACAGCGCGCTGTAATTATAAAAATCACGATTGAACATTTCAAAATTGAATGAGTTCTGAATTCAAATTAGCCGCCTCAGACGACTGTGAACCAATGAGGAATAAGCGTGACAGAGTTTCGAGATATCGATAGTCTCGATGTTTGTCCTTTTTATAATAAATAAAAATAGGAGGATATCGACCCACACGCATGAAAAAAATCAATAAATTTTGGCTAGACTTAGTGAATTCGCCAGGAAATTCTATTGGGATTCTATTAAAATTCGAGGGAATTCTCGTTGAAATTCTATTTGTTTTTTGTGCTGATTCTATGCAATATTTGGTAGGAAAAAGTCAATAGATTTAGATTTTTCTGTTTGAATTTTTCTCTTGAGATTTTTTCTATGAATGATTGGTGATGGATTGAATGATGGCTTAAAAAATTTGTTGGGATGTCCCTTCGACCGACTTCGAAGATGAAGGCAATAGCAATCATCTTTATTATGATTTATTCGAAAATTTTCAAAAATTTTGCATTTTTTGACAATCAGAATTCCGAGATATCTTTAAATATCAAATAAATTCAATCATAGCTTAACATGTTTGTTTTAATGCCATTAAGTCGGAGTTAAAAGATGATTACGATAGCTATATTTGTTGACTTAATTTTATGATGATTGTTGAAAATTTCAAATTTTTCATAAATTTCCCTGAAAGTGAGTTTTCTGATGGTTTCTTCAAATGTGATGTTTCAAATTCATTCAATTACGTATAAATAACATTTTTTTATTAACATTTTATCGAAGGGCTGAGTGGAAAGACAGAACTGTACAAAATACAATCGGTTGTATAGAAGAAAAGAATAATGATGCTGATAGCACTCAACTAAATTGCAAATCTGACAAAATTAGGTAAAGGAAATCTTATTCAGTTTAATAAAATGAAATAAACAATGAATTATACATGATAGAAGGAAATGATATGCGAAATAACCATTCGGAAGCATATTGCTAATTTATTAGCAAAAATAACTATACTATATACGATACAAGAGCAATTTCCCATTTGCTTTGATAATTTTCAACTAACGATTTTGTTGGGGCAAACAAGACTTGTTGGAGAACTTGTTCGTTTTTCTCTCAGTGCAGCGAGGTGAATTGAACATTGATTATCATTTTCAAAACTTACCTGTCAAATACGTAAGCATTCTTGCACGTGTAACTACACCCTTCATAATTACAGAAGAAATTGGGTCCATTCGTGTGGACCGTCATGTGCGAATCGAGATCCTGCTGAGACTTGGCAGAGTGCGAGCACAGTTGACAGGGAAATGGCCTTGCTGACACATGCCTGTACCTAATATGCTTCACCAGACTAGCTGGGGACTCACAGCTCATGTCGCAGATTTTGCATTTGTGACTGAACACGTGGAACCTCATGTGTTCACGAAGGATCGTTTCTGTTGGGTAGAATTTCGTGCAGTACGAGCACTGGAATCCCTGAACTATAAAAAAACGAAATATAAATCTCATGGAATTAATTATTTGATCAATTTTCCCACATGCACGAAAAAATTCATCGAAAAAGCTAACAGACTCATTAGAAAATTCTATTGAATTTCTACTAGATTTCTAATAGTTCTTCACCTATTTGTGTTTTTAAATGGAAACTATTTGATAGAAAGAATCAATAGAATTTGATCTTTGTAGATAATTCATTTCATTGAGATATTTTCAATAGAAATTCATCGACATGAATTTTGTCATTTTTTTCTCTATTTTAACACAAAGTGGAGCCAAAAAAACTCCGTTTGGAGGAGAAAAAAATTGAATAAATTGTTCTCCTCCATGAAAAAAATTGAATAAAACAAGTTAGAGAATTCAGGCCGAGGAATTTCTTCAGAAAATATCTCAATGGAATAAATTTTATTGAAAAATCAATGTCTATTGATTTTTTTATATAAAAGATTTCCCATGGCCCGCGCTGGAAGGGCGAAAAACTAAAAAAATGTCATTTTTCAATGGATATTTAACAGAATTTTTAAGAGAATGCTAGCCATTCTACGATGTGCCCTCGTATATGCATAAAAACAATGGGACTCACCTTCAAGAGGAATTTGTCGGCGACAATGCTCGTGAAACTTGGTATTGGAGGCGAATACAGCCCCACAGTCTGGGCATGCAACGATTTTCTCTTTTGTATGGCACCTGATGTGATCCTTCAGCTTATAAAGACTGGGAAAATGTCCCTTGCACCCTGTCCATTTGCAGCTCACTCCACCCTCGACTTTATTTCCCCGAGGGTTGCTCTCCAAGTGTTGAATAATGTGGTACAAAAATAATTGGAAATTGTTGAACGTCCTCAGGCATTCTTCCCACTGACATATTTGAGGGGACGAGATGTTGAAGATGTTAACTCCCAGATTTTCTCGATGACACTTCTGCAATTATAGATCACACCATAAATAATTTTATAATGAAGTCATAAGTCTGAAAATTCCTCAAGAAATCATAAATGGAGTGGTAGAACAGAATAGATCAATTTTACTAACAATTTGATTCGAATTGATAAATAGACTTCTTCTGTTTCACCACTTCCACGTATAAAAAAAACTAATAAAAAACTTTAGCCAATTTGCTAAAAAATTCTATTGAAATTCCCTAGAAATGCTTGGGGATTCTATAGAAATTCTAGGGAATTCTCGTTAAAATTCTATTTGCTTTTTGCGTAGATTCAATTAGGTGATATTTGATAGGAAAAAATCAATAGAATTTGATTTTTTTGTTTTAATTTTTCTCTTGAGATTTTTTCTATTAAAATTATTGGGAACGAATTTTTTGAGGTTTTCTCGCTAGAATCAGCGCAAAAAACAAATAGAATTTTAACGAGAATTTCCTAGAATTTTAATAGAATTCCAATAGCATGTATAGAGAATTCCAATAAAATTTTCTAGCGAATTCGCTACGGTTTTCTATTGAATTTCTTCATACATGTCTTCACTGAATTATCCTGCACATTCCTTGGCGCTGAAATGTTTAGAAAAAAATATGTGAATACTTTTAATAGGCCATCACACTGAAAATTCTGAAAAATTCTATTGGATTTTTAGTGAAAATTCTATTAATTCTCTGAGTTTTATTTTCAATCGAAATGTTCAAATGCAAATATTATCTAGGAAAAATCAGATTTTGGTCTTTCTACACACCTTCTTCTATTGAAATGGTTGATATGGAAATTTTGCGGCTTAAATTTTTCACGATACTCCAGTTTTTTTTACTTATAGAAGGAAGAAAATGAAGTGAAAAAACCCTGATAATTTATTTTGAAGGGGAAAAACGAACGGAATGTTCAATAGAACCCGATAAAATTTTCTCACAAATGGACTAGAGTTGTAAATTAAACTTTTTCATGCTCGAAGCGCTCTTAATAAATTCAGTAGCGACGCGATAAGAGAGATAGCAAAATGATCGTAATTACCTTTTTTGTAGCTCTCAATTTTCTCTACAGAAAAGGTATTAACAAAAATTTTGCTATCCGCCTTAGATTCCGAGATAATCTTTGAAAACGGACCAACAGTCAAGATCGACTTGAACCGTTTTACCGCTTCGCTACTGAATTATTTTTAATCTCATCTTATCGCAGATTAATTAAAAATGATTCTAAAAAAAGTTTAGGATGAATAAAAATGTCTTCAATTTGTTCATCATCAGAATTGACTTCAGTTGATTGGGTAACATCAGTACATACTGGTAATTTAATTCTCCCCCTGATATTAGTTCCGATGCACTTGAGCTTCGTGTGATAAGCGTGGAAATTCACGTGTCTCGTAATCTCCGCTGAAATTCCATTCTCAAATGCACAATCATGCCACTGGCAAACATAAACCTGATCCCCATTCTCAGTCAGTTTAATCTCCAAGTCAGGTACATGACTCGCCACATGACTGACAAAACGATCAATCGAGGAAGTTTTGAAACTGCAATCTTTCCACTCGCAGGCTAAATTCAGAACTTCCTTTTTCATTTGTATACCAACTCTCCTTCGCTTTCCTCCACATTCGGAAACCGAATCAAATTCTGAATCAGTCTCGAAGCATTCGTCGAGATCACAGTCCGCTGGACGTTTGAGACTTGGGACTGACGGCTGCAGGAGTGGAGTCTGGGATTTTACCCAGAGCTTGCATCTCTCCTGGCCTTCTTGGTCTGCCATTAGTTCCTTCATTGGGTCACTCATGTTTTTCTTCTGAGTGGATGTGATTTATCTGGAGAACAACAGGAATTGAGAATAGTTATTCAAAAATGCAAGGATTTGAAGTAGTATGAATGAAAAAAAATTACAGGAAAACAGCAAATCTGGTAGACAATTCTATTGGATTTCTATTGAACTTTCTATTACGGTTTGGCCGATTCTATTGAAATGTTCAATTCTATAGAAAAAGTCTAAAGAAGTCGATTTTTCTATATATTTTATTCAACTAAGATAGTTTCTATAAAATTTACGTGGCAGAAATGGTCTGAGTATTTTCGTTTGATTTTCTTTATGAAAAGAAAAAAAATTGAATGAAACAAGCAGGGGTTCGGGCCTATCCGACAGAAGACATGGGACTATTACGTTTTGCGTCATTTGTCTCTTCCTTTTTTCATTTCTACAAATTCCATTATAGTATGTTTTCGAGTGGATCCGTAACAATTCCCTATTTAAAAATTCTAAAAATTAATCACCAAAAACTTGAATTGTCGGATACATGCATACAGACATGAACCTAAAAACATCATTTCTTCACGTTTCATAATATTCTAGACCATTTGCAATCAAAATTAGAAAATCGAAAAATCGCTTAAAAATAAGGCTTCCATTCGCAAGCAAAAACAGAAAATTTGGGCCGAGGAAATTCTATAGAAAAAACTTCAAAAGAATACGTTGTATAAAAAAATCGAATTCTATTGACATTTTCGATAAAATATTATCTCTTGAACATTTTAATAGAATCGGCCAAAAACTTATACAAAGGTCAATAGAAATTAATAGCATTGTCTAGCGAATTCACTAGATTTTTCTATTCAATTTTTTCGTGGGTGTTCCATTGAGAAATAGACTTTTCAAATGCGTCTACATTATTCGAAGGTTCAGGCAGATGAAACGGACAAATAAACTTTACTGAAAAAAATCATTACAAAAAATTTACGAAAAAACATTGAAAAATTAATAGGGGAAGTTGGGGTAAAATGGACACTTTTGACTTTTTTAAAAATGTTACTGACGGGTTGAAATGTTGATGAAATTTAATATTTTTTTCAATACAAACAACAATTCTTTCCCTTTGTGATGAGCTTAAACTGATCTCAATTAATAAATTTGTTTCTGAGTTATGAATCATTTTAAAAATGTCTAAAGTATCCATTTTACCCTATCCTCCCCTATTAAAAAATTAATATTAACTTTTTAAAATTGTTGAATTTTCTCAATTTCACCGACTTTTTTCGAAAAAATTTCGGAATGTTCAGATATTTCGACATTTAAACTTTGATGCGCCTGCTCGAGATCATGATTAATTAATATTGACATTTTAAAATTGTCAATGATTGAATGAAAATCATTGAAAAAAATTATTGCAGAATGGTGAATTGCACGCAAATGCTGGGGAGAACCAATACAAAATATGACCCTGAAGTTTGCAGATAAAAATCTTCAACAGAGGATATTTCCTGAAAAAATTATGCAATCAAAAAATTTCCAATTTCATTTAGTTGGGCATGATGACATTCAAACGTGATGATGGCTAAATATGTAAATATGTCGATTAAAGAGTGATTTTACTGGGAAATTAACTATGGAAAACCCTTAACACGGCATATCTCGTTCCAGAATTGGCTTATTACGAAAAAAGTTATGGTCACGATTTCAATTGTACAAAATCTTCTCGTGATGTTTCGTGTTTTCCCTTAATAATGTTTAGTTCATGATATATGCAATGTTTATTTTTAGGGAAAAAATTAACATCGGATATCTTGAAAAATGAATGGGGAAACATTTGTGTCCCCATAGAAATGATCCCAATCGTTCAAACGGACCGCCATTTTCCGTGCAACTAGAATCAAAATAACCCCAACAGAATACCTCAGACAAAATAATAAAATACACAACAAGAATAATAGCCTCATTTTTATTAATAATACAGTACTAGTGTTGCAATAAAAACCGCCAGAATTTTTTTTCACGTTTGTTATGATTTGTGAGGCATACGCCATGATGATTTACCTCAGAGAATAATCATCGCAGTATTCGCCACGAATATTTCATTATTTTACCACTCAAAAACGCGTTAATTCTGTTTCAGAGACACGTAACGTGATGTTAATGACATTAACTATTTCAAAAGAAAAAACTGAGCAGTCATAATAATGTGGAAATTAATGTACGAGAGAATACTGACACGTACGAGTGCACTCACGTCGCATCCACACGATACTGGCGGGATCCTCTTGACTCGAATGAACGCAACGCTCTCGACCATCTACGCTCTGTCCTCTGGTTAATATTTTCTTCCCTCAGATACAGGAACAATTCATAAAACCGATGAGACTGAATAACTTTGTCACTCACTAGCAGTTTAAATAAAATATCTTGGACTATTCTTATTGTTTTGAAGGAACTCGAATTTCTTTTATTTATTACAGGACAAGGAAAATGTGGCGTCGCTGTGGTGCGAGTGTCTGGTAGTGCTGCCTTGGATGCTCTCACAAAAATGACTAGCTTGAATAATCCAGAGCCGAGAAAAGCATTTCTCAGAAAAATATATGATCCCGTAACGAGAGACGTCATTGATAAGGGATTATGTTTATGGTTTCCAGGTAAATTAATGGGATGTTTTGAATTGTTGGGATTGGAAATGAAACAGCGAAATCGGAGATGACGCATTCAGATTTACCAATTATTATTCTCCATCAGGAATAGCCATATTCCTAATTATCGTTAAATTTTGAAGTCGTCAATTAGTCAACATTACTCTTAAATTATTAATTGTTCCAGTAATCATCAAATTAAATATTCAAATTATGAATTATTTTATTAATCAATAATTTAGGTAAGAAGATTAACGAGTATTTGGTTAATCGAAAATCCCTTTTACAAAATTAGAATTACTTGGTTGATGGGTTTTAAAATTTACAGGTCCATAATATGAAATATTTAATTCATCATCAATCGGAAATTTGAATTATTAATATTACACTGTTTTTAAATTTTGATGAGTCCCTGTTCTGTATTCAGAGAACATTTTTTATTTAGATCCATGGATGACAAAATTTAATAGAAAAACCTAGCGAGTTCATGTCCCTAAATGTCCCTTATGAAGAATTTTTTTCAGTCTCTCGTTTTTCCTAAAGGAAACAGCAAACCAAAATTTTTGAAAATTTAGGCCAGTGAATATCTACAGAAAATATCTTAATAGAATACGTTGCATAGGAAAATCGAATTTTATTGATTTTTCAATAGAATCGGCAAAAAACTCGAAGAATTTTCAGTAAAAGGTCAATAAAAATTCAAATTTTTTCTCTTACGTTAGATATTATTATTCGAATCAATATTATAAGTAATATTATAATACTGGAGGACTACGCCCCCTGCTCGCTGTGCTCGCTAGCCCTCAGATGACGCTCGTGACCCATATTTTGACACCCATGACCCTTATTTGACCTTTATATCGTTATTATGACCCTTGTGACCCTTTCTTCTTCTTTTTCTTTTTTTTCTTTGTTTCTGGTGCTTTATTTATGACCCTTGGTTTATGACCTTTCATTTCTGAGCCTTAATTTTGGAGTCTTAATTTCGAGTACCAAATGTTCCATCACCAGAGGTCGATTTCGATTTTGATAATATAGAGAGAGCCCCATATGACCCCCATAACCCTTAATCTGACCCCTGTGACCCTGAATCTGACTTTCGTCACCCTTTTTCTGACCCTCATTATAATTCTCGTGACCCTTTTTTTGACCCTTGTGACCTCGAATTTTGGAGTTTTAACTTCGACTACCAAATTTTTATCACCAGAAGTCAACTTAGAATTTTATAATATTGAGAGATTCGCCAAATCATCTCATTTTTCACTTGGTTGCAGGTCCCAACTCGTTCACCGGTGAAGACAGCGTTGAGTTCCAGGTTCACGGTGGCTCAGCGATCCTCCAAGCCATAATGTCCGCCCTAGGAAAGCTGAAATTCCGACCAGCAGAGGCTGGTGAATTCACGAAGCGTGCGTTTTACAACGGAAAATTGGATTTGACTGAGATCGAAGGTTTAGCAGACCTCATCCACGCAGAGACTGAGCAGCAGAGGAAGCAGGCACTCCTCCAAGCAGACGGAAACCTCAGTAAACTCTACAACAACTGGAGGGACATCCTATCTAAAATCCTAGCCCACGTTGAGGCGTACATCGATTTCAGTGAGGATGACAATATCGAGGACAATGTCCTCACTATTTGTAATGAAAGGATTAGAGAATTGGTTGCACCGATTTCTAATCATCTTGCTGATGGCAGGAAGGGAGAGATCTTGAGGATTGGCGTGAGAACGGCTATTATAGGTCGGCCGAATGTCGGCAAGAGTAGTCTCATGAATTATTTGGTCCAAAGAAATGCTGTCATCGTGACTCCAATCGCTGGAACAACGAGAGATGTTGTGGAGCTGAATGCCAACATTTGTGGATACCCTGTGATCCTAGCTGACACTGCAGGACTCGCTGAGAGCACTCAAGATATCGTTGAGTTGGAGGGAATCAGGAGGGCTAAAGTCTACGCCAAGAACGCGGATTTAATTATTCTGATGGTGGATGCATCCTCGTTTGTGTCGAGTCGATTGAGTTTTAGAGAATATGTTAAGAATTATATCAGTGAACTGGAGATGAGTGAGATTATTTCGGAGCACGGTGGATTATCGAGAAATTGTGTGGTGGTGGTTAATAAAACTGATTTGGTTCAGGAGGAGGTGAAGAGGGAATTGAGGAGGTTTGAGGCTGTTCCTATTTCTTGTACCAATGAGGAGGGGTTCGGGGAGTTTATGGCATCGTTGGAGAACAAATTTCAGACAATGTAAATATTCAGTCGATGAATTTCTTTCCACGTACGAAAAAATTGAATATTAGAAACTAGCGAATTTGGCGACAATTCTATTGGATTTCTATTGAACTTTCTATTGGTTTTTGGCTCATTCTATTGAAATCTTCAATGGGAAATATTCTGTAGAAAAAGTCAATAGAATCCGATTTTTCTATACCACTTATTGTATTGAGGCTCAAATGGTCGTAGTTTTTTCATTCTATTGTTTTTCTATTTTCATCAAGAAAATCGAACAAAAAAAAAATTTTCGGCTCGAAAACTTGAGCCGAAGAATTTCTATTAAAAAAAATTTCAACCGAATGAGTTTTATGGAAGGATCAGAATCTATTGATTTTTTTCATTACAATATTAATTGTGAATTAATTATTCCGTTTCAATAGTTTTCTTCTGAATGGTTTAATTTCTGAGGAATTGTTGGATTGATGATTCTTCCTTTGCAGATGTGGAAACCCGTCTCGAGAGAATCCGACAATAAGTCAAGCGAGACACAGAACGCACTTAAATAATTGTTTGGAGTATTTAGAAACGTATCTGGAGATGAGTTCTAGAGAGGAGTACGATATGGTGATTGCAGCGCAACAGATTCGCAATGCAATGAGAGAGCTAGGGAAAATCACTGGACACATCAGCACAGAAGAGATTTTAGATATTATTTTTACGAGTTTTTGTATAGGAAAATGAGAAAAATAAAATAAAGAATTGTAAATATCAATTATAATATTTTCTTTTCGTTTTGAAATTTAATAGTGCATTTAAGATGAGAGCAGTAAATTTCGCTGAGAGTTTAATTTTCGTTGAATATATCAAAATTTCCGGGAGATATCTAAATTTTTATGAATATACGCTCGAAAAAATTAAATAGAAAAACCGAACAAATTCGCTAGACAATTCCATTGGATTCTATTGAAATGTTCAATACAAAATATTCTATAGAAAAAGGAAATAGATTTCGATTTTTTCATACAACTTATTGAGGTATTGAGGTATTTTCATTAGAATTTCCACGGCTCAAATTTTCCAAGTTTTTTTCATTCTATTTTTCTGTGCTTTTCATCAAGAAAATCAAATAACAAAACTTGGAAAATTTGAGCCGAGGAAATTCTATAGAAAATATCTCAATAGAATAAGTTGTATAGAAAAATCAAATTCTATGAATTTCCTATAGAATATTTTCTGTTGAATATTTCAATAGAATCGGCCAAAAGCTAATAGAACGAGTAGCAGGACAGTTCATCCCCGAACTTTTTCATCCCGAGACATTTCATCCTCCCATTCCATCCTAGGGTTATTTCATCCTTATTTTGGAAAACAAATCTGAAAAAAAAGACTGGAAGAAAAAATTTTAGGGGAAAAAATCCGAAAGAAAGACCATTGAAAACAAATTTTGTGATGAAAATTGATATTCTATTCGGTTATTTTATTCGCATTCTATTATATTATGAAACAATTAAGATAAAAATGGCCAAAAATTAGTAATGGCAACGTGCTCTGCATCCTTTCTAATCGGGACTACACTTCCACATCACTTTCCCTGAAAAAGGAAAATTAATTTTGCAAATCAAATGATTAGAATATGAGGTCGTTTATCATTCGGCATATACGTTTCATCTAATTTTCAAATATGACGCGCAGAATTCGAGATGGCGGCAGTATCGAGCGAGCGCGCATGCGTAGATTTCCCGTACTAAAATTTCTTTCAACGCGAGTTCTCGTCAGCCAAAGGTTCGTAAACGATAATAATCCCAAAATATCTGAGTAATCCTTGAATATAAACGAAATATTCACATCAGTTATTAGTTATCATATCTTGAGTGAAAAGTGTCAAAGAATATTTAATTGAAAATCACCGGAAAACCCCATCAGATCCTGGGAAATGTGACATAACCTGACAGTATCTGATAAGTGCCTGTGTTTATGTTTCAGGATGGCACCTAGGTACGAGTTGGCCATAGGCCTGAACAAGGGCCACAAAACCACGAAAATTCGTGTAGCTAAGAACAAGGGTGAGAAGGAGAAGACCGTGGCTCTTCGACCAGCCCGTTTGAAGGGGGTAAATATTCTATTTTTTTGTGAACATAACCTCGTGAAATTCATGAAAGATTTCATAAAACATTAATTACTCTGACACGCTCATTCTTCTTTCACTAATTCTGCATCACTTGCCATTCTGCACTTCAATTTTTATACAATAATTTTTACTGACATAGGGTGAGTCGAGGTAAAAAGTATCAGGTATAAGTGACTGAGGAAGTACCTTAACACGTGAAAAAAAATGTAGTGTCCATTTTGGCTTTGCCTCTCCTATTTAATTAGTAGAGTCTGACTGAAACAACAATTTTCTAGGATCAAAACAAAATTGTCACAAATTTTTCTGTAAAGATTGAGGCAAATCAGACCATTCTTGTGACAGAAACGGATTGTCTTCTGAATAATAACTCATTCGGATTGTCACAATCAGCGATCCAGAGATTTGCTCAATTAACAAAATTTTTACAGTCTTGATCGTGGATAACAAACTCGAATGATTTAATTCGCAAATAGTCCCTTCTAGTCTCATGAATCCTTCAAGTTGCTTCTATCTTTCAAGCCTTTGTGGTATCGAATCGACGAAAAAATTGTAACAAGAATAAGCTCACATATAGAAATCTGCTTTTTTTTTATTAATGTAACAAACCAAACGATTTAAGTACAAAAAGTTCAATTTTCAATTCAAACAATGAGAAATTGATTTGGTATTGTATATAGTATAGTTTTTTTGCTAATAAATTGGCAATATGCTCCCGAATGGTTATTTTGCAGATCATTTCCGTCGATCATATATAATTCATTGTTTATTTCATTTTATTAAGTTGAATAAGATTTTCTTTCACCTAATTTCGTGACATTTTCAACTTAGTTGAATGCTATCGGCATCATTATTCTTATTATCCCTTTTCTTCTATACAACCGATTGTCTTTTTTACAGTTCTATCTCTCGCCGCAGCCCTTCGATAAAATGTTGATAGCAAAATTTTATTTACACAAACTTCAATGAATTTGAAACATATTTGAAAAACCATTAGAAAGCTCACTTTCAGGGAAATTCATGAAAAATTCGAAATTTTCAACAATCATCATAAAAATTTAATCAATCAATATAGTTATCGTAATCATGTTATTAACTTCGACTTAACGGCATTGAAATAAACATTTTAAGCTATGATTGAATTCATATGAAGTATAGTATCCAAAGATATCTCCGGAATTCTGATTTTCAAGAAATATAGAATTTCCGCAAATTTTCAAATAAATCAAAATAACGATTATTGTTATTGCCTTCATCTGCGAACTCGGTCAAAAAGACATCCAAACAAATTTTTTAAGCCATCAATCAATTCAGAATATTTCTTTAGTTATCGTGAAAAAACCAGTTTTTGAAAATTTTTAAAACTTTAAAAAATTAAGGAATGAATTGAATTTCAATCAATGGTGCAATCACTATAGGGCTCAACAATACCTAACACAAAAAACCCAAAACTTGAATTTGAAGCAAATTCAAGTTGAAGCAAAAATCTTCGGAAGCACAAATCGAATCTCTCATTTTTAGCAGTTAGAGACAAATTTGATATACGAAATCAATCATAGTCATCTAATTTGTTATATTTGACTATTTCAGCGTCAGACAAAGCACAGCAAATTCGTCAGAGACCTGATCCGTGAGGTAACCGGTCATGCTCCATACGAAAAGCGTGCTATGGAGTTGCTCAAGGTCTCCAAGGACAAGCGAGCACTCAAATTCCTGAAGAGAAGGGTAAGTCAAAACACTAATTCAACGTTTCAATGTTCCATCTCATTTCCCCTTTGTACCTGTATCATATACATTCCGGTGGTAGTCTGAGCTGTTTCATGCGCTCGAACAGGCGGCAAAAATTCCGCAGTTTAATTTTTTATGAGTACTTCCTGGAGAGTGAGGGAGACAGGATGTTGCTACTGTTTGGTTTAATTCATTAGTTTTTTTTGTAATGTCCGCTGCTTTCATCGGATTTCATGTTCTTGGGAATTATGAAGTTATTCCAGTGAATATCGATTTAAGGCAACTGTGGATTGCAACTGTGATTTGTTTGTTGAAGACCCCTCCCGTTATAGAGAATAACTCTTAACATTTCATCCTAATATCACTCATTTCGAAATTATTTATGTAATCAGCAAAGTTGTCATGTTTCGCTTGAAGCATTTCACCCACTTTTCCTGTGAAATGAGTTTGTCAGACGCAGATACACTAGTGAATTGGTACCACAGTTTAAATTAATCGTGACTCCCTCTTTCATTATGGCTCTATCCTGAGAGCGAGGGATTGTAATATGAAATGTTGAGGAATTTATTTTCAGGATATCCAAGTATCTTTTACAGTTCGGTACAGATCACACTATCAATTCAACCATTTTCTATCATCAAATTTGTCTATTAAATTGCGTGAGAAAAATTTTAAACAAAAAATCATCAATATTCAGCGTCATTCAAATACAGTACAGAATCATTATTTTTTTAAATATTCGTTGTTCATAAATAAATAATTGAATTTGTTTTCAAATCGCAATTTTTAAATTATTTCATCAATCTTCCTCCAAAAGTAAACTTTCTGATTTTTTAAAGATTTTTTGAATGTTTTCTAACTGTTCAATATCGACATTCAACTTTAGATCTGGAAAGTTTAAATAATGAAATCACGGTAAAATGTCTGGGAACTTAGGGTCAAATGAGGCTCAAATGAAAGCTCTCATGTTCGACTGCAAAAGTAGGAAAGCATTTCACTGGAGAAAAAAATTGCCAAAGTACTTCGATATCCTCAAAGTTTGAGAAATCACCCGTTGATTCTTGAGAATATTTCTTCCAAAATGATCAATGACCGAAAACATTACATTGTTGCGTATTTGTTCTTTTACTCCCTCTCAACCAATTTAATCTATGATCGTCTCCTTTTCGTTATTTTTTATCTTCGTTGTTAGTTTGCGGACGCGTCATTTCTTTTATATATTTTTTTAAAATTATTTATTTTGCCCTAAATTCTTTTAATAAAGTAATGTCTTATCAAATGGACCTATACCTTGCAATGTGATTATTTAGTTGAGCTATTTCGTTTTAAACGGTGCCACTGAATAATTCTGAGATGAAGTACCACTTTATTATCGAGTTATTTTTCTCTTTCTGTTAAGATAGTTCCTTAAAATAAGTGTTAATTTGGCGATGCTGTTTTCCAGAAGTCAAAAAGAAAAATTAATATTGTTTCCGCATTTTTTCCGTGTTTTCACATAAAATTTTTCGAAAGAGCATCTCGCTTTACATTTACGTTTTATCACGTAATCTTTCCTGAAGTTTTTTCTCTGTGTATGAGATGTTCATTACAGTCGGGAAATGATGTATAAATTATCCTCAAAGGAAAGTACATGCACTCACATGGGTCCTGGTGGTAATTATTTCAGCCAGCATAAACTAAAAAAAAGGTTATATTCATTAAATTCGAATATATTGACCAAAATCTCAGTCTAAAGTTGAGCTGACCGATCTTATTTTTAAAATACTGACACAATATTCGAAATTTCTTGAAATTCAAGTAACGGCTGCATTTGACTTTTCCATTTTATGAATTTGAACCCAATTTAAAATCCAATCATTTACTGAATTTCGTCTTCATCTTGAAAATTCAATGAAATTTCGTTTTTCCTTATTAATTTTTTAATAACAACTTGAATTTTTAAACTCATTGAGGAGATCGAACACTGAATTTGTTACAAATAGGAAATATCATAGTCAGAACAATAACGGCCTGAATTTGTATAATTTACAATCATTTTAATTGTTCTATACTAATTGAAAAGATGGAAGAATTTAGATGCTGTTAACGAGGCATCTTAACTATGGATGCCATCCGCTAGCCTCGTCACCAGCATCAAAATCTTCCTAACAGTGTATGAACCTGAAAATTGAAATTTCATTGCATCTCACGTAAATTAGTACTTAAAAATTTCTAGCGATTTCACTTGAGATTTCAAGAGTAATCCTGCAACAGTCTAGCGATGCGTATTCAATAATTATAAGTTATTCACAATCATGAGGTATTTCGGTAGTCTCATGATGTTTCAGATCTATTAAAACTAAAGACACACTTACTATTTTAGTTGGGCACGCACATTCGCGCTAAGAGGAAGCGTGAGGAGCTGGGTAATATCCTCGTCCAGATGAGAAAGGCTGCCGCCCACCACTAAGCATGGGTGGTTCGATTATTTGTAAGAATATACAAATTAAGAAAAAAATAAAATGAACTACAATCATTTACAAATCTTCCACGTATTTTCGAATTTATTTCCGAAATCAATATTAATATTATCGTTTTCCTGGTTCCTTCTCCTATAGAAAAAAAAACTCAGCCAGGAATCTAATAAATCAGGGAGAAATGACGACTGAAAATCTATTCACGTTTTTAGCTGTAAAAAAGCATAAAATGACATTTTCATGTCTCGTACCACTTATATCGTCTCAAGCACTCAACATCAACGGAGTTACGATGTCGTTTCCAGGTTGGAAACTTGGGTACTGTGATTCCTATGTCTACAGCAATTTTTATGCTGGTCTCATTTTTTCTCCCGCAGTCGCCGTTGTAGCCCATATTGCATACTCGTTAGATGATGGCTGTCATATACCAAGTGTATGTCGGGAGGTCCCACTTGGATCACATTCTGTCGGCAGACTTAGCAGAAGGTAAAGAGCATACTTGCGTCAGGGAGGGTGGTGTATGCGATTGAGTTATTTTTCTTGAATACAGAGCATGTACATGAAATCGTTTGCGATTTCTTCTCCATGTCGGTTGATAAATTGGGTTTAAACTGGATGTGAAGTTCGTACCGTGCCTACAATCCGGTTTAGGTGTGGGAATACAGGATGAATCAAGTTGAGGATGAGTTTTTCCATAAACATCTTTGTGCCTACTTTAAGAGGGGACGTCAATGAGATTTGTAAGTCTTCGGTAGAGCTAGTGACACATTAAGCGACGTTTGATATATATGGAATATGTTAAAATCGGAAAAATGATGATTCCAATCGACTTTGCACCATACATGAACGAACAAGCAGGGGTTCGAGCCTATGCGACAGAAGGTATGTGACCGTTACTTTTTGCATTATTATTCTCTTTCTTTTGTTTTATTTCTATCAATTCCATTGGTAATAAGCTTCCGAATGTATCCGTAGTAATTCCTTATCCTTGTGACAGGCATACAGCATGCTACCAGATACTACCGGGTGTCTACAGCGAAATATTCCTTTTAATGAAAAAGATTTATACAAAAGGTTAAATATCTCCGAAACTGCTCGACCGGTTGCGCCCATCCGCAATACCAACCTTTAGTATGAGGAGAGGTCGAACCATATCAAATTTCAACTTGCTAGCTCCTTTTTTTCTCGAGTTATTGTGCGAACAACATTTTTCGTGTCACGGAACCTGAAAAACCCCATTTTCGTGGCGCTGCGCGCCACGGAATTCGCTTTCTCAGGTCCCTCGACACGAAATAGTACATTACATGCCCGAGTCTTGGAAAACAGATCACCGTCTCCCACCTGCAAGATTGCCTTCCGAGCCGAAGGCGAGGCTGGCAAGCACGTGGGGGAGGGTGATATTTTTTCCATGGCGAAGTGTGTATTAGTATTTTTCCGGCCTGTTGCGATGGGGTTTTTTACTCGTGTGGCGTTGGCCTCCGAGCCGTAGGCGAGGACTGGCCAACCACACGAGTAAAAAAACCCCATCGCAACAGCCCAGGAACAATATTTTTCTGTAGTGATTTTCAAGTTTTCGAGTTTGGGAAGTATGTAATACCAATTCCCAGACCAGAAATCGTGAGCAGTACAGAAAATTAATTTTCGTGTCACGGGACGTCAAAAACGCCAATTTCGGGGCGCGCAGCGTCCCCCACGTGCTTGCCATCCTCGCCTTCGGCTCGGAAGGCAATCTTGCACGTGGGGGACGGTGATCTGTTTTCCAAGGCTCGGGCATGTAATGTACTATTTCATGAAAAACGTAAAAACGACAATATCTTCAAACTGTGTATTAAAGAGTTTATATATTCTGATTGATTTATATAGAGGCTATCGAGACGAGTACTTTGAAAAAGAATTGAAATTGGTGCAGTCGTTTTTGAGATATTATGGAAACACGAAATTTAAACAAGTTGTTATATCTCAGGAACTACTGCGCCGATCGAGCTGAAACAGTGCGCCAAAGTTGAGCTCAATAATAGCTACAATGAGCTAAAAGTTCAGATTTTTATCTATAAATTTCACCGTATTTATGTTGAATTTTCTAAAAATTAATCACCAAAAACCCAAGTTGTCGGGTACATACAATATATACAGACATGACCCTAAAAACAATTTCTTCACGATTCATAACATTCTAGACCATTTGCAATCCAAATTAGAAAATTTAAAAATCGGTCAAAAACCATGCTTCCATTGGGAAACAAAAACGACATTTTCTATGAATCTACTTTTAAAATTGTGCTTCCACCACAATTTTTGTCCGGTTGACATTTTTTTTACATGTTCATTTAAACGTTAAAGAATAAAGTCAATATTTCACGATCCGTCAAACAGATCAGGAAAGAATTGAAAAACGAGTATAGTATAACAATACTAAAAATACGAGCATAGTATAACAATACGAGTATAGTATAACAATAAATTTTTGCTAATACATCAACAATTGTTATTTTACACGTCATTTTCTTCTATCATGTATACTTCATTGTTTATTTCATTTTATTAGATTGAATAAGATTTCTTTTTAACTAATTTTATCAGATTTTCAACGCAGTTGAATGTTATCATCATCATTATTCTTATTGTCCCTTCCTTTTATACAACCGATTATTTTTTACGGTTCTATCTCTCTCCTCAGTCCTTCGAAAAAATGTTAATAGAAAAATTTTATTTATATGTACTTGAATGAATTTGAAACATTGTAGCGGCTCGCTACATACACATTCATACACACACACGCGCTGACCATCGACACCGAGAGAAGATGATGCACAGGAGTACGAAACCCCTCGCAGTCTCACTCGCACTCATCGTGTCACACGTATATTTCTGATTTCTTTCGTTTACGGAATTCGGGTGTCTTGCTAATCGGGAGACACTTCAGACAACAGTCGGTTATGAACCTCTTACCGGATCACTCTTTTTCTTTACTTTTGTATCTACTTTTAAACGTCTTGTTGTAAATATACTGTGATTCGTTAATTAAATCGCATTTGTTATAGTGAATTGAATCTTCCCACAACAACCTCAATTCTTACAACATCACATTTGAAGAAAGCATCAAAAAGCTCACTTTCAGAGAAAGAATTTCTGAAACATTCGAAATTTTCAACAATCATCATAAAAATCAAATCAACCAATGGAGCTACAAACCTTTGCGTAGATACTTACCACATAAGCAATCAAGTGTATATGACTGATTCGATTCCCCGTAGTTATTTGGGGTGCTATATCAGTCTAGAAGAAGGACATTTATGTAGAAATCATTATCGCAGATAATAATCATAAAAGCGTTGTGGACAACCCAAATATATGATTTTTTTCTCATAAATCCTTTCGGATCTTCACGATTTATTCCCTTCCCACTCCCAACCCCTGTACCGTATTCGCTGAAGGACAAGGGAGAACCCCATTTGAAGGAAAAACCTGCCCAGGTACAGTCGTCTCTTGCGAGACACCCACTCGAAAATATATGGCATATTCTCCCAATTATCATCCAATGTTTCGGCCTCGGTTTTGGGATTGACTTTCAATTTTCACAATTTGTTATGTATGTCAAAAGAAACTCAACCCTAAATTTTCACTCCGATATCTCAATTAATAACCGAGAAAATGCATGTTGAAATTTTTCTCTTTTTTTTCAATCAAATTTCACGGTAACAGTTTTCATTTCATGAATACATGTCACAAGTAACTTTTCTTCGGAAATTGTTTGAAGTTTCAGGAAAAAAATTTCCGTTCCCGTTCTAGTCTTTTTCGGCCACAAAAAATCGATTTTTTGACAAAATTCAGTGGTTTTTTATCGTCCACCCTCTTGAAAAGAATTTTTTTTTCGGAAAGTACAGTGGACTCTGGTTAGAGGCATATTGGTTAGTGTCGAACTTCCCCTCAATTTTTTTGTCTCGCCGCTCGAGCGCTTCCCCCACTCTGTCCCCACGCAGGCCGGAGAGTAAACACTCCAATATTTTCTTCAAACTGCTATTGTCTTCCGATTCCAGTAAAGACTAAAAATAAAATATTCTGCATTTGAATTGTCGATCAAAAAATTTAGTCCACTTCTGGCTGCCATGGGGGGAGGATCTCGTTTTGTTGGCATAAAATTAATTCGAAATTGGATTAAATCAAATAATGAAGGGAGGTAAAGAAAACGACTGTAACATTTTTGACTCACATGGTTCGTTAACTCCAGAAGAAATATCTGTTCTATGGAATGTTAGGTACAAAGCTTCTGTGATCAAATATAGTCAATGAAATTAAAAATATTGATAATAAAAAAATCGTCTGAATCTATATGAATATTGCTATTATAGTTGAAACTGTGAACTAAAGCTTATCATTAAAATAAAGTGTTGAATTGAGAGAGAAAAGAAATAGCATTTTTCATTTTATCGTTCCCAGTTCTCGGAAGTCGGGCTCTGCATGAGCGCGTAGTGGGGGCAGGGAAATAGAGTCGAATTCGGAGAATTCGCTTCCCTTATCCCGCAAAACAGTCGACTCTAACTAGAGTCCACTGTATATACTTTTTGGAGTATCTCCACAAATTTTCAAATTGGGATTCTTGATAGAAGCTGAATAAACGTATGAAAACGAAAAAAAAAGAATTTTCAGGATAATCGTGCGAATGTTTGATATTTCGCAGTTTTCCAGTTTTCCACTTACTAAATGGAGACTTTTTGTTTTTCGTTGAAGAGTATATATTTTTCGAGTATCTCCGGAAATTTTCAGCTAGGGGCGTTGAAACCCAGCCGAGTAAACACATAAAAACGGAGACGAAAATGAATATTTAATTATAATAATATTTATATGATACGTGCGTGTAACCGCATGGGTTTCAGTTGATATAGTCAACTGGAAAGTAGCGGGTTTCGAGCGTCTACCCACACTCAACTAAAACCCGAAATAACGCATGACGCGCATGCGCATCACCTATTCAAGAGGATAACAAGGAAGGAAATCTAACCTCCGAATAGTGAATACATGGAATGACTGAAAAATGAAAAGGTGATTTTCGAAGCAGATAAAATGAGCCC